GTTTTCTTTCATTGGCAAGTTGGCCCTTGTACTGATCCGAAGGCAAAGTGCTGGCATCCGAAATCTGCGCTCGATGTGGCAAGCGGACGCTGGCACTCGCTACAGCTTCGACCACGCGACGTAGACAAAAATCGGACACGGAACTCTTCAACTCCGTCACCGAACTCTTCAGGCTCGCGACGGACGGGCAACTGGCACGACAACATGCCTGGGCCAACCCCAGGGAAGCCCGCGGCCCGCGAATTTGCAAAGGCCGTTGCACCTGGGGTTGGCCTCAGACAAAGTCTACGCTCGATATGGCCCGTGACCAGCCGCTCGCCACAGTCCGAGTCCCTCGTGGATCCGCAGCGGATCTAGCTTCCCGGTTCTCCAGACTCCTTCCGGAGAGACGGGCGTCCTGACAACATGCAACGACCGCAGCCCTGGACTTTGCCAGGGCAGGGGTGGTCCAAATGGAGTGCACTGCGAGGCACGGATCCTCGACCACCACGGCGCAAGGAGGGCAATAGAGGTGACAGGAGCCGAGCAGAGGCGGAGCGCAAACGACGCTGTTGGTAAAAGACGACGGGGAGCCAGTGAGGGGGAAGGTGGAGGTCGAGATCCAGGCCCGTTTAAGGAGGAAAAGCTTGGAAATCTGGAAGACATCCTGCTGCCGGCATTCCCCTCTGAGCTCAGCGCCGGGCTGCCAGACCGAGCGCCGCAGCGAGGGCACACAGCGGCGCCGTCCGGAACGCCGCGCGGGGGGCCGCGGGGCTCGTCGTGTCGTCGGCCATGGTGGTGTCCGTGAGGCGGCGCTCGTCGGCCATCGTGGTGGTCTCGTCCACTGCCGCTCCAGCCGCGTTGCCCACGAACAGGAACGTGAGGAGCGCTAGGAGCATGGTGCCAAGGGCGCCGCTACGAGCGGCGGCGCTCGTCGTGTCATCACCCATGGTGGTGTCGGTCAGGCGGCGGCGCTCGTCGGCCATCGTCGTGGACTCGTCCAGCATCGCCCCCGCCGTGCTGCCCAGGTAGACGAAGGCGAGGAGCGCCAGGAGCACAGTGCCATGGCTTCCGGTGCGAGACGCGGCGCTCGTCGTGTCATCGCCCATGGTGGTGTCCGTCAGGCGGCGCTCCTCGGCCCGGGTGGGGGGCCAGAGAGAAGAGAGGAACGCCACCAGGACCTGCGCTCAGGGACCAAGGTAAGAATGGACAATCCCTGCAGAACCTCGACCAGGAGTTCCACCCCTGCGGGACGGGAAAATGACCACAGCCACTGCTTCTTGTTTGCGCCGCCTGCCAAACGGCCGGAAAAGAAGCAGTGGTTGTGGTCATTTCCCTGGTGCCAAGCTCAACGAAAATGACCACAACCACTGCTTTGTTTCTGCGGGCTAGAAGGCGGCAACAAAAGAAAAGCAGTGGCTGTGGTCATTTTCACGCCCCGTAGCCCCTCTTCGGAAGGCAGCGTCGCAGCTCCAGGGAGGCTAGCTAAGCCCGCTAGCAAGGAGCTGACAGAGTGCCGTCGGAGAGGAGCGTGCGGACTGCTACTATGACTACCTACCACACCACCCCAACCCAACCCGAAGACCCGCATTTCGGGTTGGGGGGGGTAAGGGTTCCACGCGTGTTTTTTCGATGTTCCCCGGCCCCCCCCCCACTGGAAATCGAGGATAAATTTGGGCCTTCGGGTTGGGTTGGGGTGGTTTGGTCGGTCATTTCCCTGGTGCCAAGCTCAACGAAAATGACCACAACCACTGCTTTGTCTCTGCGGGCTGGAAGGCGGCAACAAAAGAAAAGCAGTGGCTGTGGTCGTTTTCACGCCCCGTAACCCCTCTTCGGAAGGCAGCGTCGCAGCTCCCGGGAGGCTGGCTAAGCCCGCTAGCGAGGAGCTGACATAATGCCGCGTCGGAGAGGAGCGTGCGGACTGCTACTATGACTACCTACCGGACCACCCCAACCCAACCCGAAGACCCGCATTTCGGGTTGGGGGGGGTAAGGGTTCCACGCGTGTTTTTGTCGATGTTCCCCGGCCCCCCCCACTGGAAATCGAGGATAAATTTGGGCCTTCGGGTTGGGTTGGGGTGGTTTGGTCGGTGGTGCTGCTGGGCTGCAGCGGGCTCCGAGAAAGCCTCCGCCGAGCTGCGAGCGCGCGCCGCGGGCAGGCCGCAACCGGGCCGATGGGAGCGCCGCGGAGGGGGAGGCCTCCTCTCGCCAGCGCTCGGACGTCCATTCCCTGTTTTTGTTCGGTTTCGTGCGTGACTTTTTCGCCAAATGATGAAGGATGCTCCTCGATGGTCCTCGCCGAAGGAAAGATGCACACGTCCGAGCGATGCCAAGTCCTGGAAGGGATCGGTCTCCTCGTGGAGGCTTCTCGGCATCCACCTCAAGCTGTGTCTCACGATGCGGGAGGGCTCCCAGGAGGCAGGGCGCTGGTGACCCTCGAGCAGAGCAGCACCCTGGCCAACGACCCAACCAGATGCAGGCGTGAATGCTGCAAGGCAGGCGGGACGAATGAAGGGGAGCTCCATGCAACTTCAAGTCGGGCCTGTCCCCCTACAGGCCGATTGTCGACGAAAGCTATATGAAACAAACAAGACTAATAATATAAAACCCCAAAATGAGCAAAATACGAAAAATCGCCCCCATACTATTTTTTGACATGTTTTAATATTCCTCCTGTAGAGGGACAGGCCTGACTTAAATGTAACTACACGCAGGGGCCACAAAGCGCACGAGGGGTGCGCCACAATGGGGAGAGGTGCCGCCATGCGGGCCCCCCGGCGGTGGCCCCGCGGCTTGAGCGGGCGGTGCCACCCTGCGGGCGCTGCCACCGGGCGCGTGAAGCTCCCCGTGGGGCCACGTCACGACACGCGTGTGGACGGTGTGCCGACTTTGGGCGGCAGTGCCACGCGAACCCTGCCACCGGGGCCGTCGGTGGAGCTCCGTGGGGCCACGAAGCGTGCGAGAGGTGTGCAGGGCATGGGCGGGGCGCCGCCCTGCGAGCCCTGCCACCTGACTGGATTGGAGCTCCCTAGCCGAGGGGGCCACGAAACGTGTGGGGGGGAGCCGAAAGGAGGCGGTGCCGCAATGCGAACGCTAGCTTTTGGGCCTCAGCTGGGGCCCCCTATGGGGTGCCGGCATGGGACAGCGGCGCCATGCGAACCCTGCCACTGGGGCCGTGGTTGGACCATTCTGTTGGGCCACAAAACGTGCGAGGGGTCTGCCGAAATGCGGCGGCACCACCATGCGAACGCTAGCTTTTGGGCCTTAGCTGGAGCTGCCTACGGGGCCACGAAACGTGAGAAGGTGCGCCGAAACGTGCGCGGTGCCGCCATGCGAACGCAGCCACTGGGACCTTCGGTGGAGCTCCCTGTGGGGCCACGAAACGTGTCAGGGGTATGCAGAAAGTGGGTGCGACGCCACCATGTGCGTCCTGCCACTGCGCCGAAAGAAGGCGGCGCCGCCATTCGAACGCTGACATTGGGGCCTTAGTTGAAGGGCCCTATGGGGCCACAAAGCGTGATGTGAGTGTGTGTGTGTGTGGCGAAATGAGGCGGCGTCGCCATGCAAACGCTGGCGTTGGAGCTCCCTATGGGGACACGGAACGAATGAGGGGTGTGCCGAAATGAGGCGGCGCCGCCATGCAAACGGTGGCATGGCGCTCCCTATGGGGCCACGAAACGTGTGAGGGGTGTGCCGAAACGTGCGCGGTGCCGCCATGCGAACGCAGCACCTGGGGCCCTCGGTGGAGTTCCCCATGGGGCCACGAGACGTGTGAGAGGTGTGCCGAAATGGGTGCGGCGCCGCCATGCGAACGCAGCCACTGGAGCCTTTCGGTGGAGTTCCCCATGGGGCCAGGAACCGTGTGAGGAGTGTGCCGACATGGACACGCGGAGGGCAGAGGCAGGGATAGGAGGGAGGAGGGCAGAGGCAGGGATAGGAGGGAGGAGGTGGAGCACAGCGCTGTCTCGTCAAAACGAGAACCCAACACCACAGGATGGTGGGGAGCGGAAGCGAGAGAGCGCCAGAGATCTGGGAGCAGCGGCGCCAGCTCGCAGAGAGGGCACCGGCAGCTGTCCAGGGGCACGCGGGCGCGGCCAGCGCGCCAGCTGAACACCCCGGCGCCTCGGCGACGCTCCCCTGCTCCAACCGCCGCCACCGAATCGGGGGGGGAGGAGCATCGGAGGCCGAGAGACGGACACCAGCACCAACACAGTCACAACCGACTGTAAGGATGCGCGATAAGGATGCAAGGGCCTTGGGAAACCACGCAGACCCTTTCGAGCGGGGCGCGGCCAACGAAAGTGGCCAAGGACGGGCCGAAGAGGCAAGGGTCCAAGGGCACCCTTGGAAAGTCGTTCGTCCTGACTGTGAGTGTCGACTGTAGCGACTGTGTGCCTCCACCGAGGGAAGCTGATCCCGATCTCGGTGACGGTGGTCGTGGTCGGGCTTCCGAAATCGCCCGGAGAGTACAACGAACACAAGCATCTAGGATCCTCTTCCCCTGGTGGAGGCGACTCCCTGTGTGGGCGTTGGTGCCCATCGCCAAGCCTCCAAGAAGAAGAGGGGGCACAAGTTTGAAAGGGCCCATGGGGACACACGAATCCGTCGACCCTGTCGGCGTGTGACAGGGGTTGTTCCGTCGCCATCGCCGTCGTTGCCGCCGTCGCGTCGCCACCGCCATCACGTCCCCTCCGTCCTCAGAGTCCGTCGCCGCTCCCCCCCCTTTCCTTGGGCCCTCGTCCTCAAGCACGCCAGCCGAAGCAAAATACACCAGCCCATCCACAGCGAAATTAAGCAACGCCATTGAATCGAAGGAGCCCCTTCCCTTTGATCCCTTCTCCGCGGAGGGGAGGGGGGGTGTCCCGGGTCAGAATTCCACCCTCCCGGGGCCATATGGCCCGCCCTCTCCCTTCCATTTCCGTCGAGGGCCGAGGCCTCCAGGTTCGGCGACACCGGCCCTAAGGCCTTAGAAATAGATAGACACACCTCCCAAGACTCCCGCACGCTCGGGGAATCGGTGG